ACGGTGGCCGAAGAGCCCGTGAAGTTAGTCAAAATACAAAGGTGTTAACTTCCTACACCGAACTGACAAAAATAAGAAGACACCACCAAATGGAGATTAGAGTAAACTCAGAACAATTGGTAGATATAGAAGTCCAATACTGGATAGAGGTCCAAATCCATTTCCACGCCATTTTTCGGTGTGATCTTGATCTAAATATTAATAAAAGGAAAAAAACTACGTCACATTTTTAAATGGATCAAATAAAAATATCTTTGCCAAGTCGAGATGATGGAAGTGTAGATGGACAGAGAAAGAGGAGTAAGAGAGATGTCCAAAAACAAGGCTAATGTATGAAGGAAACGCTTGATCTCACTTTTATGAGCAAACTTCTTGCGGCCTGTCTTCAGAGCATGTTTAGCGGCAGTTTTCACTAATTTTTGCTTCAACGAGTGAGGTTTTTCCATATTTCCTCTTCCAAAGATGGATTTCTTATGTAACACCACAGCTTCACAACTTCGATGATGCCTTTTTGCATCCACAGTCAACACAAATACAAGCATAAGAAGGCAAAGAAGAGAGAGGTTGAGAGGAGAGACGCACATGATGTATGCCCTTCAAACGAATAAATGCAGGGTGCCGCCTTCCCTTATATGCGGTAGACCCGCTTCAAATGGCATTTCTATTGGTGCTCTAGTGGTAATCTAATCTCTATGCTTTCCAAGGCAACCGAAAAAGTTACGTATTTGAGCATGAGTTGGTAGGTAGCATTGCTAATAGAGGTAGATAATCTCAAGGAAGACAAGATGATTCTGGATGTCAGCTGTAAATATCGCAAAAAGGAATGTGACCTCTTTGAAGGCTTAAATCAGTAGGCTTTTATGACAACTGGGCAAAAGAAGTCGACAATCACCTAAACCGAGAATTCAAGTGGAAGCAGACCTCTAACTTAAGTTTACATTAGGCAAACTTCCTCACCAAACGTGACTGGATTAAAAAAGAACTACTTTTTGGAGTGGTTGTATTCGATCTCATCATTGCTTTTCGTAATAAAATTGACTATACTTTACAAGGAGATTCGTGGCAACAGGAACTAAAAATTTTCAAGGCTAGTACAGAGAAAGGTGTTTGAGATCAAGAGTGAGGGATCTTTCCCAACAGAAGGATGTTATTTAACGCTGCAGAGCGGGAGCCAGCTAGGACACTTAATACCTTAGTTGGGCTGTTGTTCAGAATCTACTCTACATCTCGAAACATTACCAAGGGCACCTTAACATTCGTCTACCGTATTGTCTGCAGGAAGGCAAACTGCGAAGGACTGATCTGATTTTGCGAGGTTTTTGTGTAACACGCTGTGCTGTCGGGTTTCTCAAACATGATGGGTGCATGAACTCTGCGTCTAACTAAGACGTTTATCCACCTTGCAAATTTGGTAGTAGGTGAACTGCGAAGAAATAGTTTGTCAGTTTCTGCAGATTTTATACATATTTTTCTCCCCTCCTCCGTCCTAACTTTTGGTCACAATGGACGAATTCCCTGACTAGTGCCCGTTCTTCTTGAGCGATGAAGATGTGCGCCAAAGTATTGCAGCGATCTGCAGAACAGGTCGCTGTGCTTACCTCAAACGTTACAGCAACTGAAAACAAATTCTAGGAAAGAGAAAGTAGAATCTGTTGTGCCCTTTGACGCTAAGTAAAACCGAAGGTTAAAATCTGTCATGGTCAAGCTATTTTGTAAACAAATACAGATTTGTCAACCATCTACCAAGATTTTAAAATACCAGGCTATGAATGTCTACTTGTGGTCAACTCCAATCCCTCGGCAATGTAGCCAAAAATATTCACTTTGCATGCTGTGCTGTCTGGCCAATTATCCGACAACCTTGCGTGCACACCTACTCCCAGGAGTCGAATCTGAAAATTTGAAAGATCCAAACTTTAAAACATTTGCTTGATACAATTGGTGATTTTCATCATTTCTACCCATAGATTGTGCTATTTTGTTCCTTGCATTTCTCGCACTCATGTTCGTCACCTAAGCTACAATAAATTAGCCTGACCTGATTTGTTTAGTTATAAAATTTTATTAGATTTTGCCATTATTATTCTGGCTGACGTTAAAGGGGATTCGTGATCTCTTGGGGGAAAACAGGGCTGAGAAGAGAGCACACGCCATATAATCTGGTTGATGTCTAAAAAGTAGGAAATAAAAGATTTACACCATCAGCGAAATTATCGTAAGGCTGTTACGTGTAGACGGTCACATGCTGCAATGATAGCCTATTTACTTGTTCATAACATAAGTACATTAAGTTGCAGAGAGATTAACTTAAAAGATTATGTGGCTTGTTGAGCATCAACTTCAATTTTATGTATTAAAATGAGCATTAAAGTTAAAATCAGGAGGAATACAGGCATTAAATGAAAAAAATTGAAAAGACAGGGTTATTTTAAAAGTTGGGTTATAAGAAGCACTTTTTTCGAAGAAATTATTCTCCTAAGAATAAAAACTGACCTAGTATTATAAATTTGGTTAGTGGTCGGTCTTATTATCAACTATTTTAATACTTGAATATAAATTGTTGTTCTATCACTTTTTCGCATGTTTATAACATCATACTTACTGGTTAATAGTAGGAGTTTTCCAAGGCTATTTATGATAGAGTTGGAAAATGGTGAATAATATTTTATTAAAAATTTAAAATGCATTCATTAGCTGTAATCCATTGTTTATTAAAGGATTTTTAGCAGTGACCTAATTTTATTGGACGGGGGTTGATATCCCAAAACTTGTTTGTGCCAAAAACTACCACTTCTAATAACACACCTCAGGTAAAGAAAACAAAAGATAGAATGAATGATTGAAGTAGACGATGGATCGAGCGCAAGGTTGGAAGAAGGATTCTCTACAAATTAATCTAGTTGTCATTGAAGTGTTTACTAATCCCTAGACCACATCAAACAAGAAGTGAAAAATTGAGCAGAAGGTCACTAGAAAAAAGACCCGCACAATTAAAGCGTTTAATTTTGTGGTTTGATCTAATAGATAGATCTCTGGGAACATATAATTCCCTTACCTTATCTACTTCTCTGCACCTTCATTAGTCAAGTAGTTCTGATTTTAGGTCACTGGGCTTGCAATTTCTCAAATTGTTGAGTTTGAATTGCGTCTATTGAAATGCGATTTTAGTGTACTACTTACAAGAGTGAATTATCTAGATACTGTGATCAGTTCCCCGTGTCTCTAGTTGGCCTTTCACCAAATCCATATGCTCATCATCCCCACAAAGATCGCGTCAAATTAAAAATAAAGACCCAGACATGCTCCCATCTCACCTACCTCCTCATATCTGATAGTTATTATTTGGCTGAGAGATGACTTTCTGACCCTAGAAAAAATTTTTGCAAGGTTATGGAAGTTACTGTTTGCAAATTTGAACTTTGCTTTTTTGAGCCCTCTTGAGGTGTTCTTACTTTGTACCCAGCATATCTTTTCCCCTATTGACCGGTATCGCATCATTTGAGAAGATACAAATAGGTAAGAGCTGGAAGCTCACGTTAGCAGCTTGAGGACGTGTATACCCAACAAGGGTCGGCTCTGCACACAGTACGCAGGATATGGTCACTGATTCGTGACCATGTGCAAATCTTCGTTGACTGGGAAGTAGGGAATAAAATAACTGGTAGTTTCGGGGTTATAAAGTGGATGTGCTATGTTCATTCAGATGCAGGGAGATTTGTAAGCCTATAACAATCACTTTGCTTGACTCATTTCGTTTTTATGCCTCACCACAGGTGTGCATTGCAAAAAATGACTACTCACTATAGGATAATGGTTCCATGCTAAAGCACGTTGCATTAGCTGATTGCGCTGACAAAGGTTAAAAACACGGTTGCCGATTTTGTGATTTGAGGGTTGTATGACCGAGAACCTGGATACTTTTAGGCCTTTAATTAGATAATGGAAAGATGAAGACACTGGGCGAAGCATTGAGCAAGCAGTTGGAGTACTGTTAGCGTGTACTTGGATGGTGGCTATGGAGCAGAGCCTGCCCGGGACAGAGTCCACTTCTGAGTTGCGTCTTGGTGTATTCGATTGCATGCATGGAAGTGAAACTTTTAGATAGCAGAGTGTCTCTTTTATCTAATGAATGCAAAAGCTACTCCCTGCTGCTTTACAACTGACACCAACTTTGCCCCTCAAATGCAGACATCCTCCCCATACCTAGCAAGTTCCCTTCTCAACGTCCAACTATCCTCCCACTTACCTACCTATCTAATAAACCGATTAAGTAGTTAACTGTAAAAAGCAATGCATCACCACTGAAGAAGTCTGTGCTTACCGATGAACAGTGACTGTGTCAAAAAAACATGTAATGCAAGTGATGTAAAGCCTGCTGTGAGCAGTGAGGCAATTCGTGGACATCCATTCGCACTGTGCAAATGGGCCCAACACAAGTGCGCTATCAGATGATAATGATTTTGTTCTTCTACCCTTCTTTCACTTGCTTTGCAATAAGGCATCGATCAAACTTATCATTGGGTATCGACAAACCATCCACTGCTCGCACTACCAATTATCCATTACCTCACTAACCACTACCCACCAGTCAGTCTTCTGTAATCACTAGTAGCTTCACACTTTCAGAGCACACACAATACTCAAAGTACAGAAGGACCCAGTCTTGTGCCTGCTTTGTGTGAGTGAGTGGGTAAATGCACACCAAGTTGTTTCTACTTTATAAGGCAGGAAACGCTGGGTCACGAAGCCGTGAAAGAAAATCATCTGGTTAAGAGACAACCGGGAGTAATCATCCAATAAGTAAAAACTCCTAAATGTCTTGCTTCCTAGTAAAACCACAACACAAAACACAGAACAACAACAAACCACTTTCTTCTTTCCACATGCCACAAATATGACACGGGGAGAGGACATGTAGAGACTAATAGGTATGATGGAGAGAGGAGGAGAGGAAGGGTTTTAGTGAGTCAGTAAGGTTCAAGGCAAAATTTGCCACTTCGTCATCACCCTTCTTGTCCACAGTTGCCCAAATCCTCTAATAAAGCTTCTCCATATCGTGATTGCAATCTTCCCTTGACATCATTATCTCCAGTATCGTTTTGAACATCACGTGACCACAGATGATATTTCACATTTCCGAACAGAGTAAGCAGTACGGCCTGTGCTGAGTGTATCGATGGACGTTGGGCAGACAGTA